AAGGATTAGTGCTTCCTTAACACAAGGATTTAGCAAATCTGTTAAGGAATAAAATGACAAGATGGACACCAGAGTTGAAAAATAATAGTAATGAAACTATAAGGTCCTCATGTAGTCAGCAAATCCTTTGATATTGAGGCTTTTGGGGGGTCCTTACCCATGCAATCTGTTTCACTTCACCATTTTGTAGATTTTCCATTGCTTAGCAATTAAAATATAGAAGTAGGAGGATGAGGACTCAATAAAAAAAAAAAAAATTGTTAACAATAACCAGACTAAGGGCCATACAGTTTACTGATTTGTAAATATGAACTTACGAGGTCAGTATTGCATGTACCTTTAGGGGTCATCTACCAAAATTAAAAATCATATACCTAAAAAACACGTGTTTCAAAAATCTTAAAATACCTTCCAAAATGCAAAAACTGCTTGATGATGTCTACAAAACTAACTAATGAGATCAATATTCAAAGGCGTTCTAGAGTTGTGCAATTCAAATAGCATAAAAGGGAATCTATACAAAGTAAAAAAGGGGGGCTAACTTACATTAATCAACTCTTTTCGAGCTTCTTGAAGCTCATCATTGCTTTTACGCTCTTTTACAATAAGAGTTTGGTTTAATGCTTCCAAGTCTTCAAGGTCCCCCTCCTTTTCTCTCAGTTCTTTAAGTGTTGCTTCGACCTTTTCCATAACTTCCATATCACCATCATCCCCCATGTGTTTGATCACATTCAATGTCCCTCTCAATTGCTCAATTTCCAACTCCAGCGCTTGTTTTTGATCGATTTGTTTCTCTAGCTGAATTATTCTATTATGAAATTCCTCTTTCTGCCTCTGAATGAGTTTAATGATACAGTCATATGGTCAGCTTACTCTATATGTATATATATATATATATATTCCAAACCTGACAAGGAAGCATTCTGTTATTGTTGATACAAGTGAGAGCAGCAAACAAACCTGATGATTTTCAGCTAGTTTCATTACATTTTCGTCAGCCTTCTGTTGCTCCAAAGCAGCCAATTGTAGTGAACTATTTCTTTTGGCATTCTGGAACAAGAATGACATTAGTTCTCCAATCATAAACTTCAACTATCTGAGAATTATCACACAACAGCATATAATAATAACAAAAAACTTCAACTGCTTCTGCAAGAGCAATCAACACCCAACAGTTTTAGTTGATTTTTTTTTTTTTTGTTCTTTATGAGACAAACATCACTGAAAATTTGCAGTTACAGATCTGCAACGGACAACCTTGAATCATAACTTTATAATATCTCCGGCATAAAAGAAATTTCGGGCATAGTTATTCCAGTCATAGATTTGTAACTCAAACTCAGCAACTATATCCACCTTCTAAATAAATAGGCAAGCATTGATATGAAGACTCTTATGAGGAATAAAACCCTAAATTCCTGCACAGGATTTAAAAATTTGTCCGAGCAAAAACTACCCACAGCACTAACATATATCTCAAGTGCAACCATTGTATTTGTGGATAAAAATGGCACAGCAAGAGGTAAAGAGCACCAAAAGACACTCATGTTAAGAAACACAACGAAAAAATAAACAAGTGAAACATCTAGTATGAGGCACAGAACCTCTTCAATTTCTTCGGCTAAATTTTTTCTATCAATCTCATTTTTTGCCTCACGCTTTTCCAGTTCAGCTCCACGCAACTCCAGCTCTCTTTGATGAGATTCCAGCTGCAACTTAAGCTTTTCATGGTCACTAAAAATCTTCTGGAAGTGATCTCGGGCACTTACTTGTATCTTTTTTAACTCTGTCAATGCAGGCAAAATGTAGCATAAGTTAAAGGTATTTCCTATCTGAAGTGCAAAAGGAAAGAGACCTTCCTGACTAGTTAAGAAATTGCAGGATTGTACAACTTGAACATTGAAACATGATTTAACAAACAGATATGTTGATAGTATTTCACACTATCAATTATCAACTTTTAGTAAGAACACTCAAGTTTGGTCACTGAATATACCTTCATTATAAGCTTGAACAAGTTTTTCCTTTTCTTGCATTACACTATTAAGAGTCGATGAAGTCTCGGTGCATCTTTCTTCCATCTCTTTTATGTGCTGTTTTTTAACCTCAATGATGTTTGTCAAATTAGATACAAGTTTCTCTTGCTTCCGAGCTTCTTCCTCCATTATCTCGGAAATGCTTTTAAGGTCTCCTATCTTGCGGAGTTGTTCCCCTATTATACCTGTGGAATGGAAGTCATCGGCACGGGCTACCCAAGCATAAAGACCAGACTTTGGTTCACCATTGTTGTTCCAATCCTTTTTCCCACGATGATCAGCCTCATAAGCCTTCTCAAATGATCTGGCATTGTGTAGCCCCTGCCAGTCTTTATGGAATTCAACAATAGCAGTTCCTGAATGACCACGGTAATTCCAAAGTGGGCGAACCCTCGTTGGGTTGAATCCCCTTGCTTTATACTCATCCCTCAACTTGGATCCGCTTTCTCCTACGGATCGTCCATCCTCTGCCTTTCTAGTTGGGATGTTAACCACAACCCCAATCCAAGGAAACACAAATTTCTCATCATTCCCATAACCATTTTCAGAATTGCTGTCGTCAATGGATTTTGAAGAACCATTTGCTGCAACTATATCTTTTTCCAAGTATTTCACCAAAGCTAGGTGGTTTGCCTTTTCTTTAGCAGTTCTTTTGTTTGAACAGCTGTTTCCCACACCAGAAGCATGTTGGAGGAGTTCCCTGTACTGATAATCTCGTTTTCTCTTCTTGGGGCAATAAGGACAAGTATAAGCTTGGTCAGATATTTTCACCTGGACACTTCCCTTCTTCAGCTTATCATAAGTTTTTTCTTCATACACCTCCATTTCAGATTCACTCACCGAATCCTCATCCGAACCGTGATCCATTCTTGAGGGAACCTGAAGGTTAAAGCAATTTCAAAGCTCCAATCAATACCAAGATCTACCATTGGTAACAAACGTTTTATACAAATGTGATGCTCACAGAAAAAATATACATAATTCTCAACAACATTCACCAGTTATTCCATATAATGGCACAATCAAAAAGGACACCAGATTCACCTGAAACCCTTTTTCTTTATATAACATGCATTATATTTGACATTTGACTAACGATCAGTAAGTCCCAGAAACAACAGTCCGTAAACCATAAATAAACTCAAAGTACAAAACCAACACAATGCCCAAAGTCACAAAAAATGCAGGTCAGTACATCATCATTCAGGATAATATATAGATGACTGTCTTCAACTCTTCTCTCTGTAATCTAGACAAACCAAGTTGTTAAAAAAAATGAAGGAACGAGAAAGACAAGGCAGAAAAAGGAAAAAGGAAAGTACTACTGAAATAGAACTAAGCATGCAGGCATTTTCCTCCGTTTTCCGTCTAACCAAACACAATAAAACGAAACAGAAAATTCAAAAAAAAAAACACATGCAAGTCGGTAGACTCTAAATATCTGCGATCCGATTCTCATAATAAAGTACAATTACAGTAGAACTAGCAGAATCGGAAAAAAAAAAAAAAAAACAGCCAAACAAAATAAGAAAGGAAACGAAAATGTGAGCTGAGGAAGAGATGACCTTGAGAAATCGGAGCACCTCGGAGCTTGAGTACGGAGAATCCGGCTCCGGCGAGCGCCGATCGAGGGGGAAAATTAATCTAGAATTTTAGTTTTGACGGGGAGTAAAATACTGTGAGTGAGTAGGTATCTCAGTGTAGCAACTGGCGAGTAACGACGAATACACAAAGCTAAAGTGCCTCGAGTCTGGAGGCAATGGCGAGTGGTGTACTGATTTCTCACGCGCTCCGAATGAGCTTAAAGGACAGATGTTCAACGGCTTAAAATATCACTAATTCTATGATTAATCCTCCAACTTAACTTCTTTAATAAGTCCATCAAAAAAAATAAAAAACTTCTTTCATAAGGTTCTGGCTCCTAATTCCAAAACTTACATTTTAAAAGCCCTCAAAATCTCACTTCATTTTTCTTCTTTTCCTTCAAAAGATTTCAATACCCAATGGGAAAAGAATAAATATTGCATTCTATATATATATAGATAAAGCTTTATTAAATGTTTTTTTTAATTTTATTTTATACCCTTAGGTTATAGGATATTAATACATTTATTGTATTTTTTTTATTATAAATATACATAAAAAATAAAAATTGATATTAATTTTAGTATAAGATGAATTTAGTTAAATAATTAATAAATTAAATGTTGATTTTGATTTTTTTAATATAAATTTATTACAAAAATATATATTTAATATATCTTTAATATATACCCTTTAAAATATAAGTTACACAAACTTTTATTAGATTATATTAAAAGTTATTTTTTTTATCCAATAATTTTTTTTAGATTACAAAACATAACACTTACTTTATGATATTATTATCAAATGTCAAAAAATTATAAATGCCGCTCACAATCCTTTTATTTATTTTTTTTAGTACATTATATGTTGGCTAATATAACAAGAGCTAGTCATCTTTTTGTACCCATCTTAATATCTGAATTTGTGATTTTAACTTGAAATCTTAATTTTTTAATTACTTAAAACACTTACTTAAGACGTAAAATCTTTTCATTTAAAATGAAATTAATTTACAAATCACTTTGCAATCGATAGAGCAAGTGGTTGCTTCTTTATTATACTATACACAAGGGCTTATGTCTTATTCAATCATCAAGCTAGTTCTCATACTCTTATCTCTCAAATACTATAAGTAAATATAAGTGATACTATCAATTTTTTTTGCTTTTAATTGGTACAATTAACAATTGAGGATGGAGGAATTAATGTAATTGTTAGAGTTTGAACCATAAACTTTATGCCTTAACATTGTTTTCAAGGAGAAGTGTGCCCATCAACCCATTGCAAGTGGGGCAAGGGAATAGGGAATGGTTATTGCCACAAACTAATTTAATTTGTTAAAATAACTAAATTAAAAACTTATATAGCCATTAAATTAAGTAAAGAAATCTAAATTTAAAAGAAAAACTTGTAAATTTAGTAATCTTAACCATTTTGTCACAATATTCTGTCAGTTTTCTTTTTAAGCATTACAATTATTTTAAGTAATACCGTACTTAATTAATGCCATTAACCTGGGCAGGAGGTGATCTTTGTGGCAAAGCCTAACTGTAAACAGCAGCGCGTGGGAGAGGTATCTGTTCCTTCTTTTTTCTGGTGGAGAAAAAGAAGAGGTAGTACTTGGAAACTCAGTAATTCAATTCACAAGGGTCGGAAATTGCAATATTCTGTCGGAATTGGCAGCTTTTTACGTGGAGTGACTGCTGACTTCTTAAATTTCGAGCCCATTCGTACCAGTATTGGTGTATTACTTTCCTTTTTAATATTTTGGCTATCCATTTTTGGACTGTTGAGTGTTGACAGCAGATAGATTGGGTTTTTTTTTTTTTTTTTTTTTTTTTTGGGAGGGTGTAATACTGTAATCTGCAGATAGATTTAGTTAACACATCATTTCAGTTTAGTTAAACA